AGATTTTTAATTCAACACAAATAAAATGTTGACCATAAGAGAAATAGGTTTTACAACTTGTGAGAATTGGATATCGCTTGATATCAACTCTCGTTATTTAATTTAAATAGTAATAATAACCTCGCCAAAGGCTCGTTTATTATTATATTGAAATTAAATAACTCGATATTTATTTGATATAAAGCGATATCCAATTCTCACTCGTTATGAAACCTATAATTATAGAGCAATGTGGGTTTCCTTAAATTTATTATGTGGATGTTATCATTTATAGAGCAATATATCAGTCTGATGATGTTATTATTTAGAGTGAAATGTGTGTTTCCTGATATCAGTCTGATGATTTTATTATTTATAGTGCAATGTCTATGCTTGAATAAATTGCATATATGTATATATAATAGCTCCTAGTGTGGACAGTGTATTTTTTGTATACCCTTTCCAAATTTATTTCTTCATGTTTTATGCCTCAAATAACAAGTAGGGGGATGAAACTACATGGTAAAAAAAATTGGGTCATAAATTTTAAAGTAAAGTAGTGATATTTGGTCCAGCTACAAAAGGTTTAAAAATAGTATTTCGGAAGCTGTCAAAAGAATTCAAGTCCCCCTGAATATAAAATTTTCCATTATTTGAGTTAGAACTGATGACGTTTTCTATAGTTTTGATATAATTTGTCCCAAAAGTAGTACACCACACTGTAAAAATATTATTGAGAAAGCGCAGGTGGGATTTTTTACTTCCATTTTTTGTCTAAAAGAAATGCAATACGAAATAACTGTTCTCGTGCCATATATTGTTCATTTTGCGACAATCATATGAATGTGTACACCACCGAAGATGTATTTTGAGACCGATGTTTGTTATGGTCTCATATTAATTGTATAGGTTTGAAAAAAATACCAAAAGCTAATCATGCAGATCATAGTCCATATATGTGAACTAGTCAGTAAAGTTAGAAAGTGAAAACATACAAAGCGATTAAACTGAAGATTCAATTTCAAATTCAAGAATTATGTAAGGATCTATGAATAATTTATATTTGGTAAACTTTTTTGTATTAAGCTTTGAATTTCAGAAAGAAACTGTCCTTGAGTCTCCATACCTTACTTTAGTATTTCATAAGTCAAACAGACTGTCAGCGTATCTATCAACTGTATGTCTAGTGTTCTTGGCTCATAAAATTTGTCAAAGGGAACTACCACCATGAGTAACACGTATCCTGGCTGAACTCCATGGGGAACATCAAGCCCGTCCATGCAACGGAAGCAGAAGTTTCTGCCCCAGTCATTAACTATTAACAAAACGACGACCTCCCAGGTGTAAATGTTGGGGTAGAGACAGGTTTATTTTTAGCTGTGGGCACTGAGGTTTCATACTGTGTGTTTGTCGGGTACCTACACTGGGGAGTTTATGATTTCCTGTGACTGGTGCAGCGAAAGGTTTCATGGCCGATATGTGGGAATCTTTACCTGGGAAGCAGAGGAGTTGGAGAACCATTTATTGAAGTATAAACTTGATAAAAAGTAAAATATATTTAATTTTTTATCTCTTCGCATGTTTCAGCTAATATAAGAATGAATTTGATATGTTTTATTCATCTTTAACACTTATACCTTCACATTTAGTCCTTATAAAAAATAATCTTGCATCTATACTTTAGATATATAACATGTATAAAGAATAGACATATTTTATTTTCAACATTTAGAAATTCAGATATTATTTTTATTGCAAATGAATAATTTTTACATGTAAATAAAACTACAGGTAAATGAAGTTACAGGTGTCATATTAGCCTATCACTTGGCATTGCTAGGTGTGATAATTTATTTACTAAGACAACAGCACCCAATAAATGATGACAAAACATGGGTTAAAAGTAATAAAAGGGATATTTGAAGATGTTCTTAAACAGTAAAATATTTCCTGCCTTTTCAAATATAAGACATAAATCATTTTCCTGCAGGAAATAGAAGGTATGAAGGACCTTTACTCTTATGGCTTCTGTAGTTTATGGTGTAAACCAAAACATATATTATGTGGGGTCAATTTTATCTTTACCATGTTTACATAATTATATTTTACACTCACACATAGTATAACCTCTTTTACTTTAAACTCTAAAATGAAACCTAAAGACCCTATCACTGTTTATTAAGAATTTGCATTGTAAATAGAAATGAGAACATTTAAAATTACTTTAACACTTTCATTATTTTATTGCATACAGTAATTGACCAGGTAGAGAGTAGTTTTTATAGTGATGTCCACCCAAAATTTCAAGCGACCAGTATTTGAGAGTATTTGACAGTATTTCCCGCTATTTACGGCTGGCATGGTCAATATAATACTTCCATGATCAATCTAAGGACAACTTTCGCTGAGGGAGCTGCAACCTCAATTTCAGTATGATTTCAAAATTTAAAACATCCTACTTCAAATAATTTGTTATAAATCATGTTAGTACCAAATTTGTCCTCAGTCAATATGCTTTTCTTATGTCGATATAATCTCGTATCAACCTCATACAAAGGCTATAATTGTATAATATTTCGTAAGGTAAAACCTGGATCCTTCATACTTAAATAATTTGAATATAGATGATATATGTTATGAAGTTTCTGTCTGTCATATGTTCATTGCTCAATTTGAAATTTTTGTTTTTTGGTCTGTTTTTCTTACACTATTAGCAAAAGGTCAACATGTTTCATGTATGGGATGATTGATTGATTGATTGATTGATTGTTGGTTGCTTAACGTCCAGTGGCAAATATTTCATGCATATTCAGGACGAGAACAAATTAACAATAAATACAATAGGTAGGTTCTGTAATAGAGGCGTCTGGGATTAAGGTCGGAGAAATTTGGACTGCCACTGGAAATGAGGATATATTGGATAGGGACAGAAATTTAGCCTTACAACAGGTCACCTACGGACCCCTCAAAGAGTTGTTGCAAGGGTTCTTAACGTGCAAAGAGCGTGGCACTCTCTTTACACGAGGCATCGGATTTAACGTCCCCATTCTGACCGGACGTGGCTGCAAATTTGTACATCCCGCACAGCCAAACGGACGCCCCACTTTAGCACGGGTTTTACTGCCGGTCGGAGGAAGACCAATGGTGACCATACTTCTATTCCCCAGTCACCCTTGGGGGTATGGGATGATTGTAATGTGTATATGTCTGCCTGCAATTATCATCTGACCATGACCTCATCATCATGATTCATTGGTCAATCTTAAATTTTCATGGTTTAAATTGTTTCGTAGATACAATATGCAAC